GTAAAATGAAAATGTACAAGAAGTTCAATTCAAAGGCAGCAATTCGTATGCAGAAGCGTTGATATCCTAGGTAAATGCTTGGCAAGCAGATAAATTGCAAAAACACACACATGGCCACAGCATTCAGCTGAGCTTTGCTCGCCATTCTTTATGGAAAGCCATTGCGGCATTGCGTTCGGAAATGGTCGCTTCACATTAATGAATGAATTCAGTACTTTTGGTCAGAAGTAAAATAAAAGCGTAGCAAGCAGAAAAAAAACTGTTATCAAGCGTCTGCAAGCCGTACTACTCATACTATACATACACACACACACACACTCAACGTTACAGTAACGCTTATTGCTTTTATGCGGCAGAGACAAATGCCAAAACTCACATACCACAAATGACGCATATCTGCAGCTTTGCATATTTGTTTGCTGTCGGGTTTATTGTATGGTTGGAAATATGTAAGTGTGTTGGTGTGTTCGTGTGTTCATACGTTTGTCGTTCGGGCCCGATTGCTGTGCTATTGTTTTCTTTCATTGTTAATTGATTGTAATTTGTGTAAAAAATTTATGTAAATATTTTAGCAAATTGTGTGCAAATTCATAGTCAAACTGCCGCGTTCTGATTTATTTTGATACTCGTATTACCCGTATTGCCCGTATTGCCCATATTGTGGACTGAGTTAACCATTTCTGTTTGAATACTTGTACATTTCAGTAACGTATTTAGTACATTTACGGTTTTAATTTCATTGTGATTTTGTGGTTTCATACACATTTCTGAATACTAATGAGCGTAGCAATTAGTAATGCGATTTGTGAAAATTTTTATCATAATTGAGCATAAACTTTTATTTTAATATTTTTCAATTATTCCTCTTTTCTACAGATAAAACAAAATTTTCATGAATATATCGATAGTACTTAATTACAGAATGCGGACGATGGTTGTAGTCGGACTATAATCGTACACTTTAACAATAATGAGGTTAGTTTAGTTTGCTTAGTTATTTTAGTTGAATAATTTGGATGAAAAGACTTGGTTTAGAAATAACGGAACTCATTTTCAATCAAGACAATGTACCTACTTACAAACCCAAAAAATAATTGTTAAAATCAGTCAATTAAATCATGAATTATTGCACCTATCAGCTATTTATGATGTAGTTAACAAGTTGTTTTCACATGTTTCCTTGCGCTTTTAGGTGCTGTTAGCTGGTATTTTGAATTTTGATTATTTTAATCTACGTATTTTAGATGAGGTTTATTTTGTAATTATATGAATTCAATTTTAAAAGGAGACACATATCGAAGGTGACTTTATTATTTTTGTAAGTATTATATACTAACTAATACTCAGTTTCGTTAGATTTACCTCTTTTATAAAATTCTATTGTAAATATAGGTACTACACTCTTTAGAGTAGCGTAGCACTTTAAATATCACTACAAAAATTGGATTCATAAATTTATATAATATTGGAATAAATGTGTTAGGGTATGTTTCAACTGGTTTTGTTAGAATAGTTAATTGGATTCATAAATTTATATAATATTGGAATAAATGTGTTAGGGTATGTTTCAACTGGTTTTGTTAGAATACTTAACTTACTTGAGATTTAAGTTCTTCAAGCATTCTCAATGGACCTAACTGTCCATGGTCTAACGAAACCAGTGGATCCATATTAGAAGTAACATACATATAAGTAACATATGTAACATAAAAGAAATATATTTCAAGTAATTCAAGGAATCTTAAGTAATTTAATTGAACTAACGACGCCAGTGGAAACGTACTATTAAATAATAATATATTGAAATATAAAGTGTAATAAGTGTGATAAAAATGTTATACTGCGACAAAAAGTAGTTTCTTTTTTAGTTTCTTCTTTAATTCAAATTTATTTAAGTTGAAATATCTATCACCATTTTTGTGAATTACCTTAAGTATTGATCTATGCCATAGCATATAATTAATATTTGATGTTTCTAAAATAAAGATTAAGATGTGTGGAAGACTTAGTATATATTCAGTATTAATCGGTATACAGTTAAAGTTAAAGAGAATTTTATTTTTAGAAAATTTTGATTATATACTATAATTATATTGAAATACACACCAAATATTGACACAAAAATAAATATATGGACAAATTCCACTTAGAATATTGGTAGAAAATGAAAAGGTTTGCAGCAAATTTATAGGTTTACGAAAAGGCACTAACTTCTGCGCCATTTTCCTAAAGTAACATCATTTATGCTATGGGTTATAATAACTTGTATCAATATTTATTGAATATATATGAAAAATATTTAAAATATTTTCAGTAAGCATTTGGATTTAACAACTGAGAATAAAATTCTTTTTTAATAAAAAATTATTAGAAATGCATTTTGACGCAGAATTCGATATTCCCAATATTTAATGTAAAACAAATTAATTATATTAATAATTTTAATAAAAAATGTTTGCAGTTCGTGTCATATATTATAGTTGTACAATATACAATAGTCGTTACGTATTACAGTTATATTTTCGTGTACTAAATAATTATTTACTTATAATGATTAGTAATTTTTTTGTATACAAAAATAATTTAAATTTAAAGCCAATCATTAAACGTAACATTTAGTCCTTTTTATTAATTATTTCCGAGTGTAAACTTTAAACTTCCGTTCATTAAATATAAATTTATTCATTTTAAAATGTAATTTTTACAAATGAATTAAAGGAATATCCTGTCTGATAAAACAAAAAACAAACAAACAACACTGGGAATAAAAAATAATTTAACGGAAGGCTTTGTTCCTTCACAGTATAGTATTTTTTTTTATCAATTTGCAATTTTAATTAATATGAAATTCACGCCACATGCTACAGATCTGTAAAAATATTTAAATATTTAAATTTTGTATTCATAGAATGAAAATTGTCAAGCAGTGGCGTTGTAAGTGGGATACTAAAGATACAATTTTGTATAAAAAATAAATGAAATTAATAAGGATTAAAATACATTGTGACCGAAAAGTTTCCGGAAATTTTAAATAAAACGCAAAATTCTTAATCTTCATCAATATTTATTTTATCTCCTTCAAAATATGCTCCATTAGAAGCGATACACAAATGCCAACGTTTCTTCCAATCATCAAAACATTTTTTATAGGCGCTTTCCGGTATGGCTTTGAGTTTCCTCTGCGAATTCTGTTTTACGTCTTCTATGGATTCAAAACGCGTTCCTCTGAGTGGTAATTTGAGTTTGGGAAACAGGAAAAAGTCACACGGTGCAAGATCAGGTGAATACGGGGGCTGTTCGATGGTATTTATTGAATGTTTGGCCTTAAAATCGTTGATAATGTTGGCTCGGTGCGAGGGAGCATTATCGTCATGAAAAATCCATGAATTATCCTTCCACAATTGAGGCCGTTTACGGCGGATATTTTCACGCAAACGTCTTAAAACAGTCAAATAATAGGCTTTATTGACTGTTTGTCCTTCAGGGACGAATTCATGATGCACCACACCACGAATATCGAAGAAAACAATCAGCATTGCCTTGATTTTCGAGCGACTTTGGCGTGGTTTTTTCGGTTTCGGCTCGTCTTTTCCTCTCCATTCCGATGATTGTTGGCTTGTTTGCATGTCGTACTCGTAGACCCATGTCTCGTCACCCGTTATGATGCGTTCCATGAAAGTTGGATCGGAATTGGCACGATCAAGCATGTCTAACGAGACCTGTCCACGATGGTGTTTTTGGAACAAATTGAGGTGAATCGGAAAAAGCCGAGCGTTGACACGTCGCATACACAAATTGTCCACCAAAATCAAACGAGCCATCTCACGACCGATGCCTAGCTCTCGTGCTATCTCTCTAACACTCACATGAGGATTTTTGAACACGATTTCCTTTGCCTTTTCAATGTTTTCGTCGGTGGTAGAGGTCGAAGGTCGTCCAGAACGCGGCATGTCTTCGACGGTCGTACGACAGTCCTGAAAGGCTTTGTACCACTCATAAACTTGAGTTTTCGATAAAACTGATTCCCCATAAGCCTTTTGTAGCATTCGCAACGATTCTGCACACGAAAATTCGTTCGAAACACAAAATTTGATGCAAACTCTTTGATCAATATTTTTTTCCATTGTTTTTTTTCGCAACGCACTACTGAGTGAACTGTTTCAACAAGCTGCCGTAAACGAACTGTCTGACAGATCGCGCTCATTTTTGGCATAGTAATTAAGGACAGTGCTGCCAAACTACAATAACTTAAAATATCGAAAAATATACAGCGCGCGAATTTTAAATGAGAATTTCCGAAAACTTTTCGGTCACAATGTATACGTACATTTATGTTATTAACAGCGAAGTTTTATACTCGTATGTTAATAATGTTAATAACAGTTGGAACAGTGCGTTAGCATTTTGCATTTGGAAATTTTAATTATTATTAAATTCCATCGTCTACAACGATTTTAATAAAGAATGTTTCAAAATAAAAGTTTTTAACTACGTCACTGTCAATGCAATTTAATCCTGTAAGTGATTGTTACATGTGGTACATCATATGTATGAGTGTACATAATTTTATGTTAATTAATGTACGAATTTGTTTTTATACAACAATTAAGATCGAAATACAATTTTCGGTGAGCCGCAAATTGTAAATTTATTTTACTTTACGTATGTTTTCAATTTTAAATTATTTAAAATGAAAATTTTTTTCTGCAAATATTAAATTTCATCAAATTGCCATTTGATTTTTAAAAGTGCTAGAACACAAAAGTCAGTTCTTTGATGTATTTGAGTGACAAAGTCATAGAGTAAAACAAAGTTAAGGCCCTTAAATTTATATTAGGTAATGAATTTTCAGGTTGTGTTGTTATATATTGTCTTGTATAAAATCAAATATAACATCAAACGAATTTTAGAAAGCTACTTTTGTCCTTTTAACGGTTTGTGTTGACTCGAACAAAGTATTTTGTTAATTAAAAATTTTTACAATAACACTTTGAACTTACCCCTTCCTCTTTGCCTTGCAAAAAATGCACTGCACCAGAACGTTGTATGCCGGGTAGAAACCATACCGGATGTGTCAATAATAAACGCTCTACAAGTCCTAAATCACATGGTGGACTGTTTTCGCTGCCACGGGATGTTTCGCTTGAAGTTTCGCCTTCAGCCAAAATGCCACCATCCGAACTGGAAACAAGGGATGTACGCGACTGTAAATAAATCCAAGAGAATTTAATAAAAGAAATTTATTTCACATTATTATTAAATGTATATATTAATCATTTTATAATAATTTTAAATTTAACAAAATTTTTAAATATTGAATTTTAATATTATTGCCCAAAATCAAATGAAATCATCCCTGTGGCGTATGAGTAATTATTTTTGACTGGGATAACTACTCTAATATGTAGCCATATGCTACCATTATTTATATATTTATTTACAAAATTCAGAAATATTAGCTTATTTATTAAAATACTTTTTTATTTATTTAATACATATGTAATAAAAGAAATTTTATATTTTATTAAATGAATTATCTCTGCGTTAGCTTCAAAATATTTTAGTAATGTTATCGTCGTAATGGTAATGACCACAACAAAAAATCTTTTTAGAAACTTTTAAACAGATTTTTATATTGAATTGGATTAAAATATATCATGTGGTTGAAAATATATTATTTATATTATGAATATAATTAAGGAACTGCAAGAAAGGTTAATTTAAAAAATTTTTATACATATTTTATAAAGCTTCTAACTCCATATCAGCAGTGTATTAACTATAAACAAATAACTTTAAGAGATAACACTATATTATTATTCTTTAAGAGTCTTAAAGAGAGGGATTATATCTAATAGTTTTAACTTCATAAAAATCCTATACTGTTGAAGTTAATATATTTCTAATTGGTATGATTTAAAACTAGTATAAAGAGATTTTTCTATTCACTTATACGCTTTGTTTTGAAATCGGATTATGTTAAGTATCTGAAAAAAACACTCCTAGACCACTTTTTTTTTGGAAGGAATAAAAGTCAAAAAGCAGACAGAAAAACAAACCAGACATATTTGTTAAAAAGGGAATGTTGCAAGGCTCTTAGTGAAAGCTTAAGTCAAATAAAAAAACTAAAAAAAAAATTAAAATAAAAATTGCAAAAAATTGGCAACACGCCGGCGTTAATTTTTTTTTCTAAACTTATTTACTTAATTCAAGTATACGCGTATTTACACAATTTATTTATGTACCTAAAAAAAAATTCTAATGAATTCATTGTCATTAAATGGCCATGTAAGCGCAGCTGTTGCCCTTTGCCCAGACAATTCTGTCACTGGCAGCATTTGACTATTCGTTCGTAATTGAAATTTTAAATTCATGAGATAGTCTGTAAATTATGCCAAAAAAAATTTAAAAAATATTGCGTAAGTTAATTTTTTAACTTTTATTTTCCCTAAACACAAATCTACTAAAAAAATGTTTTTTGCCAAATTTAATTACTTTCAAAATAGTTTCAAATGTTTAGACTTTAAAAGAAAGACGATTTATAGGACTCTTTTTAATAAGTAAGTAAGGCTAAAATTATTTTAAGTCAACAAACGTGCTTTCAAACTAATGTAGAATACCATAATGCACTTACTTTTTTAATAATTGTATCTAACGTCTGTCAATATTTTAATAGTTTAGTTTTTGGATAAAAGATAAGACATGAGTATTGATATATGTGGAAAGTTTCAATAGAAAGATCACTGTTTATGATTTATATCAAATTCAAAGTATATGTAGATATATAAAATATACGGTTTTCGGTTTTAAACGGAACTTAACCGTGTTTTGATGATGATACAAAGGGGTGTCATACTAATAACCCAATTGAGAACATTAGAAAAACTAATATTCGCAACAGTCTAAATATTTGAACATGTAGCGTTAATAACAAATTAAATACTGTAAAACCATAGACTAATACTATGCGTATATTTATCTAACGCAATACAAAATAAATGTCTAAAAAAATTTTGTATTAGACCATAGTATACCAAAAGGAAAACAATTCAGACCTGGCAACGCAAAAGGTCGAGTTCAAATAAACAAAAGTGAACCTGCTCACTCATCTCTGATGTAGAAAGACGGATTAAGAAAGGACACGACAAGGTCGACTTCTACAAGCAAGCTCTATCAGGTTACGGCTATTTCAAGGTCAACTTGTACATATTTCACCTAGTCCTGCTTGGTGTCCTGCTTGCCCTGTGTTAGAAGATAAAGCAGAACTTGTCCTGTTCGCTTGTCCAAGATTTGAGTTCCAAGCAGAGTTAGACGAACTTTTATCGACCAGCAACTTGGTGCCCTTCCTGCTTAGTTCGGCTAACGATTGGCAAATGGCGGAATCAACAATTCCCTTTTGATGAGATAATTGAGAGCTGTTGGAAAACTTCGACGATGGAATAAGATCTGGACACAAGCAAATGGACGGTTACTGACATGATGATCAGACTATAGATTTGAGCTTTTGCTCAGGACGACTTCAGACGTATTACCTAACGGTGGTTCCTGAATGAGCTTTTAACGGCGGTTGATATTTTTCGCTGACTAAGCTTTTAAGCTGTTCTCCTATTCAAAAAAAATATACACCCAAAAACAGAAACACAAACATTTAAGTATAGAGAGTATATATTAGGCAGTAAAATAAACTATAGATAAAACAGAAGGGCATATGTTCTTTAAGAGCAAATAACATAACCTGCGCTTTTCAATTTTATTATAATTTAAAGCGTTAGTAAGCTGAATTTTATTGAAAAAAAAATTGATTTTTGAACTTTTGGAAGTTGAGTTAAAGATTGGCATTAGATATTTATTAACATTGCCGGTTGTAAAACTGTGAATTATTAAAGTTTGACAACCATTACAATGTGTCAAATCATAACTATGTATATATCTCTATTCGAGGCTTATCTACTAGGGGATTGGAGTAAAAATTTTCGTTTGACCATAAAATCTGCAGAAAACATACTACAAAATAATTAATTATTAATTAATTATTATAATTATTAAACACAATTTTTAAGTACTGTGTATTTAATTCTTTGTATTTTTTTTTATATCTTAATTGTACCACAATTAAGTGTTGTAAACACTTAATTTTATTTGTGTAATTATCGCTAATTAAGATCAGCTAATTGTAAAGAGTAATGATGATAATGATAATGATAATTAATCATATATATACACGTTTTATATTTAACTAATTATATTGAAGAATTAAAGTGTTTCTTCTAAGCCTATCGGACCTATCGGAGTTTGATTAATCATTTTTGTAATTTATTTTGTTTTTTTTTTCTCGTCTATTGATGTTGACATCTCACCTATGAATGATTATTATTTTAAGCTTTGTTTATGTTTTTCCGTTTTTACACTTAATGCAACGCGTGTCAATTGAAGCGTGCGAAATATTTATAATTCTCACATTCAAACGCTAAAGCTTCACCCTCTCGTGCCAGCAAATAAACATCAGCAACATCGTCACAGCAACATTGCTTATTGCTGTGACAACTTCATGACATTTGAAGTGCTTTGCTGAATTTTAAATTTTGCATAACTTTTTTCCCTATTGATTCTAGTATTTCTGCATATTTTTCACCGGCTTTCGTAATGGCTGCCGCCATGGCGTCTCCACCATTTTGTTCCCGCATTGTTCGATGCTTTATTAAAATAAAGTAGAAAAAGTATCTCAAAGGTAATCCCGTGTCTGTTAAAAAAATGTTGCCAAAGGTGTCGCATTCTGTGCCTTCTAACGACTTTTTTCTACGTTTTTCTACTTTTTTCTTAGTTTGCTATTCAGTTCCCTCAGCAAATTTTGTAGCTTTTTTCCATTTTACTATGAAAAATGGTCCTTTTTTTTGCAACATTTTATGCAGTAGCAAAGCGAGTAAAAGGTGCATTTAATATTTTATAAAAAAGAAAAAAAGAAATAAACAAGAACAAAAATTGAAATATTAAAAAATTGTTTAAGAAAACGGAGTACGTCGATGTTTATTTTCAGTTTAACTCATATTTTAAGCATTTTATAGCCCATTGCTTTGTGCTTGGCATTATTTTATGCCAGACACACGGTACTCATTCGACTTTTTAGGCATCGGTTGCTGCTGCCATCATTATGACAGGTGGATGATTTTTCAGCTTTGATAAGGTGAAGTGACTCTTGTTTCATCTTATCGTTTACTGTATATTTTTTGTTTACTGCAAACATATTTCTTCTATGTTTACATTTTTCTAGGTTTCTCTATACATTCATAGATACAAGATACTTTTGTGTAGTATTTTTTGTTTTTTTTTGTTTTTGCACATACTGGTGTTATGTGTTTTTGTTCTCATTGTTGTTGTTGTTGCGGTGTGTGTATTTTATGAAATATATTTTTGCATTCCAGACTTGTAAGTTGATATTTATGTTTTTCACATTTTTCCACTACCTTTTTCATGCTTATTATGTATTCTTAATACGTATTTTGCGAGTTTGTCATAATGCGGTTAGGCTTCGCTTTGCATAATTTTGAAGAAGGTCGACTCTTAAGAGCTTTTTAACTTCTATCAGATACAGGTAGGCATTAAATAGATATATATATGAAGATAAATTTAAAATAATATAACAAAAAATGAATTTCCGTTTTTAAGTAAAATGTGTTTAATGTAGGTTTATGAAAGTAAAAGTATGATAGGTAGATTAAGAAAGGTTGAGTTACAGGTTAGCTACAATTTATAACGGTTTTTATTTAATATGAAAAGAAGAAAGAGCTATAAGAGTGCTCAGGAATATACAATAAACTAATAAACGCCATTAAGATTATAAAAAATATAACCAAGACGCGGTCTTCTCGGATTTTTGTTTCGAAAGGTTATGGTTTTAATATTTTTATAATAAACTGACATACGCTTTAAATATTACAGTGAGTACTATAAAATGTGAGTTGAAATTTAAAGTGATCGACAGATCGTCCGGCTCTCGCATTTATTATTTTTCGAGAACTGACACAATGCGAGGTACGGCAAGATTAACAAATTCAGTTGACAGATCATTTTGGATTTTTACCATGCTTCTGACTCTACTTATTGTAATATTTTAATCGATTTGCTACGGTTAAGGTCAACGTTTTCAATAATCGCATCACAGTAGAACTACATCAGTAAAAATATCGCTTCTGAGCAAAGTCGAAGC